CAAACTTGAAAATTACCCTTCAACTAAAAGTCACAATCTATTTATTTAACACTAATACTTACGATTGAGCCCGTATCAAAGTGCCAGACACGACATGACATTAACATGTGTGATGTAGATACATACAATTACTTCAATTTTTCAAATTATTGTCGATGTTTTACACATAATTTTCTAACACTAACATGACACTGACGTGTCAATCACTTAAACTTCTCAAAATTTAACTAATGTCATGTGTAAGTTTTGTGGTTCAGAGATCCCTTTAACACCGACATCTCTGAAAAAACATATGTATCAGGTGTCCAAAACCTAACAACCTACATCAGTCTCCATTGAACTCTATAGGTAAATCAAAATGAAAACACTTAAATTATGACCTGAATAAGGGTTTGAGGAATATCCTGAGCCATGTCAAGAGCATTCTGAAGCTCAACAACCTGAGCCCTAGACAACGGTTTGGAAATCGGAATATCCTGAACAACAGCAGATTTAAAGCCGCGCGTTTCAAATGTAAGAAACGGCGCGGCAATGTTAGTATTCGGAGAAACTTTCTTAACAAGCTTAATCTGAAGACGATTCGGAAGAGCAGCAGAATATTCAGAACAAATAGCAACGGAGCTACGAAGCGCGCGGAGAAGAAGCGAAAGATCGATTAGGAAGGCGATTCGGTCGTCGTTCTGGCTCGAGATTCGGTAATCGTCGAAGAGGATTTGGTTGGTGAACTGTGCGATGGATTGGATTCCGTCGCCGTTAAGGAGGTTGTGGAGGAAGAGTGTGTGGGTTTTGGTGAAGTAGAGGTGGCAGGTTTTGGAGGTTTTTTCTAGGGAGGGATGAAGCGTTTTTCGAGTAGGTTTACGCCGGTTTCGGTGAGGAATGCTTTGAATTTCATTGTGGGGGAGATTGGGAATTTGTGTGAGAGGAAATGGAAATGGAGGTTTAAGAGAGGGATTCTCTTTCAAAGAGGGAAACTCAAATGGGGTACATTTTGGTAAGGATTATCATTATCTTCTCGTGCCTACAAATTATAAGTCAACTTGAGAAAATTATAAAATGTAACTAATTTTTATATAGCTCTCATTGTGTGAGTGTATGTAGATAGCAAGTAGGAATATTAATGGAGTGGTCATATATATATGGTGAACCATCTATTTGTAATGGTTGTACTCGTACACATCTCATGCATTTGTATTTTCACGAGAGTGACATTTGAGATTGTTAATGTAGGTTAACATTGTTGATTAATTGTTGATTATGAGATAGGTGGTTGCACCAATATAATTTGAATATACATATGTTTCATATAACTTAGAATGATAAGAGCATGTTGGTACTTATAGATTTTTTATTTATAGTACATTAATTTTTTTGGTTGAACATAAGATTGACTCTCGCAATATGTCATCTTTTATTATTGAGGTGATTATCTTAAAATCATGTGGTTTAGGACCTTTTTATTAGGTATATGGTGTTCTTTACGAGGTGAAAATTTTCGAAAAATAACCCATAATATATTTAGGTTGGGATGCTTAGTCTCATAATATTACATAGGTCATCTACACCCTTAGTTATTTTAATAAGTATTAGGTATTAAAAATTTTGAAGTCCAAAAACTATGGAAAAATGAGATGGAATTTTATTGAGTCAGGTGTCGTACTAATGTGGTATTTTGTGACCCCTAGACTGATGGTTCAGTTATGGAGTGAAAATCTTGGAGTCTTTTTGAGTCGTCACTTTGTCGTTTGCATGTTCTCGCTATCTGTGTTGTGGCATATGTTTTGTAATGATTCTTTTTTAGTGACATGATGATGTGACCATAACTTTTTGAACACGATCAAGATCATTGAATCTACTGATTTTGTGTCTTGTCATTTGATCACAATGAGTGAATATCAAGCATTGAAATCTCTTGATGCGACATATTCATCTCTCATTTTATACTTCTTTGTATCTAATTATTTTTATTTCTCCTACATTTGCACTAACTTTCAAACCTTTAAGTCCTTATCAGCCTGTGCTTCGTCTTTATTTCACACTTAGCTTTTACATAATTTTGTATGGTACATCTTATTTATGTCCCCTTTTGTTCCTATTTGTATTGCTAAAAGGGTTGACCATATTATAGTCGAGGTCGACGATTCAAAAAATCTTTACAGTTTATGACCCCACGATTAAAGCTTTATTTTTATAGAATTTGACAAAGCTACCTCATTATCTTCTTCTAACAAGTACAATGTTAGGCTAAACTCTTTTATACTATTGTACAAGCCTAATAAGAGTTTATAAATTGATTTTACACAAATTAAGAGACTATAAAGCATTACATGATAACATATGACATGTTATCATTGTACGTCATTTAGCAAGAAAATCGGATAAATCTGACTTAAAATGAGCAAGTTAAAAGCAAAAGAATGGAAAAAGCATGGAAAGGCGCTTTTGGATAAAGAAAAGCACTTATTGTGAAAATTGGTGAAAATGAACAAAAAAAACATTGCTAGCTACTGGAAAAAACATGCTTGCGCTACTCGAAAACGCGTTCACGTTGAGCTAATCATTACTCACTGCATTGAGAATGCAGCGTGCTAGTGTTGGTGGCACGCTTTTGCTGACTTTAAACAGAAAAATTAGAGAAATATGGGGTTTGATTCCCTAGAGATAAAAGTGAATGTTTACCCTGGAATTTAGTAAACAACGCTAGTCTCTTGTTAAAGGTTGCTTCGCAAGACCGACTAGGGAATCTCAGGATAATGCTTCAACTTTTAAGTGTCTTGAGATAGAAAAGTAACGAGTGACTCGAGGGCAAGTGACTTCAACACGGTGTGAAATATACTGTTTTTCTAAAATGATAGATAAAGTTAAATAGATTTGAAAGTTAAAAAAAAACAAAAATAGATTTGCAAAAACTTAAGTAAAGTTTAAAGTAAGTTTGCTTGACATAAAAGAAAATTTGGTGATTCAAACATACATTGATATTGCTTGACTCATTTCGCTCTTCGCTTGGGTATTCTAAGTGTTCGCCTAAGATGAGAGTAAGTTTGAATCCCCCTAAACTATTTACAATGTCTATTTATAATACATAAAAGGTAAATGCTCTTTTGGCGGGTTCATCTTCTCTGAGCGCCACGTGTCCACTAATTTCTCCATTTGTCTCTCACACGTTCTCATGTTTCAAAAACCCACTAAGGGGCAGTCTTTTCCGCTTTTTTTCTTCACAACTGCCCACCGCAAATAACGCCTTCATGTCATCACCATGTTTTTGTCGACTTGACCCTCTTCTCCTTTTGGCATTTTCCTTGTCGCTTCTAGCCACGCTTGTGCCTCTTAACCTGATTTGACCTTTGTTTAAATCCTAGCTAACAAATTACCCTCCAAAATTCCTCTATCGTCTGGTAATGAGAGAGGGGCATTTTTGCCTTATCATGTTTGTCATCATGGGATGACGTCAGCGTCATCATGAATTTCCTCTCAAAAGGTTATGTCCACAGTAATGTATCCATTATCCTAACGTAGCTCCAACTTCCAATGGTAAAACGTGGCCCACACTCAACAACATTTTCGTTCCTCCTACCATCATTTGCCACCTGCGCCCCGCGTGGCCCCTCAACGATCCCACTTCCCTTTGATACTTCAAGAGTATAAATATCTCAACACTTCATTTCCATTTTTCCTTCACGCTTACTTCTTGAAATCATATTTGAGCTCTCTTTCTTTTCTTCTCTACTTTTGAACTTTCGAAAAAAACACTCTTCATTTCCAATTAATGTCTTTCTATACTCACCCCTTAGACCAAACACAAGCATATTTTGTGCCTTTGGTCACAAGACTGGACAAAACACTTGTTGTTAACCAACAACAGTACATTATGGAACCACCGTTGATGAAAGAGATATTGTGTATCTTCCATTCTCATGTAATTATTTCATTCCTTGTTGGTGATGTTTCGCATGCCCTTTTGGGACCCATCCTTGATTCCCCCAAGGATGTTCAAAACATAGAATAATTTTTTCCTACCTACCGTTATACCAAACCCAACATTAGTCTCGATATCCCTCTTGACTTTGCTCATCTCTATCGATCACCTAGGGTTTTCCATTTCGGCCCTACCATCAACTCTGACTACCTCTCTTTGTTGAACAAAGTAAAGAAAGTAAAAGGCCAGATCTGGAAAGATCAGGGGATCTTTAACTTGATCCAACTATCTAGGGTTAGCCACACATATTGCCCCTACCTTTTGGTTGCTTCCCTTAATTTATGGGATGGTTCGACCAATACCTTCCATTTCAATTGTGGGATGCTAACTCCCATTCTTTTCGATATGGTGGCCATCACTGGCCTTCGTCTAACTGGTAAATCATTCAACCCTACAGACGACGATGAAAACTACCCTAGGGTTCTAATGTAACACCCCAATTCTACCCTAAGCAATTTATGCAAAATAAATCAAAGTTATAAAATTTCATTCATACAAACGAATCGGGACGTCACAAATTCTTCTAACAAATTCATTGCATTCATCATGGATATATAACAATTTTAATAAAACATCGGATGAACCATCAACATAGCATCTTTAATAAAATAATTCAACAACTACGCAGCGGAATTCTTCAATAACATCTCTAAATGAAACAGCAACTTCGAAACATCTTGTAATTAATAATAATTCAATTTAAAAGTCAACAACTGAAAATCAACAATCAAAAATCAGCAAGTGTTCATCCCGCCGAGTGTTACATATCAGAGTAATGACACCGACTCGAACTATTGAAGGTATACAACTTTCACTCTCAATTACCTGCACGTTACCAACATAAGGACAACATTTAAACAGAAGGGGTGAGATATCTAACAATATAATAAAGCGCATAATAATTAATATATTAAATCAGATCAATAATGTGACCACTTCTCATCTCATAATCAACAATAATTACAGCATATATACTCATTCATCAACATCAAATACACTTCATTACTCAATCATATAATGCGACTCAAAACTATGCAAATGCATGTGGTACCATTGGAGGAGAACTCCCATCTCAAAAATCTGCCAATTAATAGAGGCATCAACAAGGCATAGCCTTCATCTCAAAATTTTCCAATCCAAGCCATCTCAACGAGCATAAGCTCCATCTCAAAAATGCAATGTACGCGACTCTTCATGAATGTAATATCAACATCTCAATCATCTCAAAACACAACATCTCATAAACATCTCAGAACAACAACATCTCATAAACATCTCAGAACAACAACATCTCAATCATCTCAAAATAACAACATCTCATAAACATCTCAAAACATCTCAATTACAGCATCTCAAAACAATTTATTAAACATCACTTATTTATCAAACGTCATTTGTTCATCATAACTATCAAACACAACTTTAATAACCACATCTTACTAATAACTCAGCTATATATTAATACTACAGTAATCCATACTATTATTCTGCAGTTCTACTTCGTTTCTGTCACTAATCCTACTGTCATAATTCTAACAGCAGCCTCTAAACATCTCACATTCATCAATCTGTCCAAAAATCAGCACAACAATCATCTACGGGAATTAATTCTAAATCTTAGATTGGTTACTAGGATTACACTTCTTAATCATCATCTAAATCATCTAGAATAAAGTTCATCGCGTTAGCTAATCATCGCTTCGAACGACATCTCAAAAAGCATCTTAAAACTCAAGTTACAGCAATTTAAAACTGATTTTGCCATAAACCAGACATTATGTATCGACACAAAACACTCTGGATCGACTCATCCTGCTTCATCTGTACACTATGAATCGACACATCCTCCTTATGGATCGACTCATCCTGCTTCTCCTTTTCGACATGGGTCAACGCAAAACCCTATGGGTCGACTCATC